AGTTGCTGTGCAATGATCACTGATGTACAATGATCCCATTGGAGAAGGCATACGATAGGGTTAGACATGGGTATTTGTTCACGGTTTTGGAAAGGATGGGGTTCCCAAAAAGGTACGTAGGATGGGTGAGGGACATGTATTGGGCATTCAGCAGGGTGCTGCTGAAAGGACACTTGGGGGAAAAGATTAAGATTGAAGTGGAGGTAAGGCAGGGGTGCCTCCAGAAGTTCCCTGACTAGGTCCTCACTGACCCTAGGCCTGGGTGCACCTCCCCTGGCATCTACGGGAGTCCTGATAGGGGGAGGTGACCCGGTCCCTGCTCAGAAAAACGGAGGCAAAGAAATTGTTAAATAGGTTAGCTTTGCTGTCTAGTGCGATGACCAAATTTCCTAGCTTGTCTTGCAGAGGCCCCACGTTACCCAGTACCTTCATTTTGTCCCTTATGTATTTGAAAAAGGACTTCTTGTTGTCCTTGATCCGGGTGGCTAGTCCCATTTCCATCTCTGCCTTGGCCTTCCAGACCACCCCCCTACAGCCCTGAGCAACCGAAGTATAGTCCTCCCTGGTGATGGCCCCTTCCCTCCATTGGGTGTATGCCTCCTTTTTAGCTAGGAGACATTCCCTTATGCTTTTGGTGAGCCATGGGGGCTTTTGTGCCCTCTTGCCCCCTTTGATTTGCATTGGGACTACCACCCTTTTGGGCTTGGAGGATCGTCTCCTTAAGGAACGACCACTCTTCCTGGATACCCGACTCCCCTCCGGAACCTCAGTGCCTCCCCGACTATTCTCCTTACCTCATTGAAATCCACCCTCCTGAAGTCCAGGGCTGCTGCCTTGCTGCAGGCCTTTGCCACCTTGAGCTGGATGGTGAATTCCAGCAGGTGATGATCGCTGTCACCCAGGTGGTCAGGCACCCTCAGTTATACAAGTAATGCCTGTCATGCATTGCTTGTTGTGTTGCAGCCGACTTAAGAGGTGTTCTAAAGTTTCTGGTTTAGTTAAAGTATTATTTTTTAGAATACATTTCTACATAATTTCATGGAAGTAGGCCATATCAAAGAACTATACCTTACACTTAAATGAAAATGTGATAAAACCTGTGAAAGTCTTTAGTTTTTCTAAAAGTTCATTCTATAGTGTCAGACTAGTCCCTAAAAGTCTCCTTTCCCTGCACAGATGAGCTTTACCCTTTCTATTGAGAATTTCACTATTCCAGAATATGGATTTGTTGACCACAATCTTCATCTCAGAGATTTAGGTGACCTTTTATGTATTCTGAGCCAAGCATGGTAACTCTGATTCAGTATTTTTGGTCAACAATTATTTGCCAATGCTGCATAGGAAAAATTGTACCTAAAGAACTCTGTGTCCTTGCTGCTTTGGTTTTGAGGATGTATCAGCTTCACTGGTGGGTCCTTCATTTGGCTGCCCCCCTGGGCAGCTGATCTGCCAATCTAATTCCAAACCATCCATAAATTTGAGTGTCTTTCCTGCCACATCTGTGATGTCATATTAAGTATAGGTCCTCTCTTGGAAGGCAGACACTCAGGTGCCTCATTTTATTTCTCTCATTATCAGGCCAGCTCTCTGCAGAGAAGGAGTCTTTATGCCACATGGCACCCAGGCCATACTCCCGAACAGTCTTCAGATTATGGCATCCCTGGTTCACCACAACAGTAGTTCTTACGTGCAGAGTCCCTTGACCACAACAGTAACATTCCTCAGCTTGTAGCTTCTACCCCAATGGCAAGAGTTCTCAGCTCACAGCCTGCTGTCCTTTGTATTCCCTCCCAGGGATCATTTCTTCTGTGAGGCTTCACAGGTTCTCTGTTGGGCTTCTCCCTCCCCTGGATTTGGCTCTGGACTCTACACCATCCTGAGCGTCATCCTCCAGGCTGCTCTGCAGGTTTAGCCAGCCACAGGCTTATATAGCTGAAAGGGTGTGGCCTAACCTGTTTTCTCTCTTAAATGGGAAACACCCTTTTCTCACCCTAGTCTCACACCTATCCTAGGCTCCAACTGCTATCCCTAGGCTAACAGAAGAAAAGAGCTGGAATAAGCTTAATTTTCAATATGTACAGGGAGCCAGCCTGTTGAGTAAAATGGCACCAGTTTTATACAATTGGTTTTCAGGGTGAAACCAACAAATAATATATGTAATGAGATGTAATATCCACTAGCTTACCATTTATAGAGCCACCTAAGCTAAATAACTTCAGCTGATCTCTAGTGCCTCCTAGATGAACAATTTGTTAGGACCAGATAGCAACTGATTCTAGAAATGGAGTTCCAGGAGTTGTCTGTCTTTTTACATTTGTGACAGGGATTGGGTATAATCTCATAATGTTGGGATGTCAACCACCTAAAGATAGTATAGCCATGATCCTGTTCACCACCCCTCCCTACAGAGCAGTATGGAGCTGGCCAATTGTGGAAAGAGAAGCATGCCACGGTATTGTAAATGATGATGCAGTGGATTAACAGTGGCAGGGGAGCCTCTTTTGCTCCAGCCCCAGCACGTCAGCCTGATCCCTCTTTGCAGCAAGCTGTTCCTTTTTCAGTTCACTTTCCTCTTCTTAAAAAGAAAAGGTTCCTGGGCTTTAAATGCCCTACGTTTGGGCTTTTTTAAGAGGGCTGACTGTTCCTTCTTAGATGGACAGACATATCTCTCCTCACCCCTACCCCTCTGCTCCCCTACTGACCACCAAAGATTGGAGTCTAAGACCCATTTTCTACACCTAGTCCCACTCCTTTCTGGGAGAAGTCCATCTTGGTATGTGCAGATCCTGGTCAATGGCAGAAGTATGAGGAATAGAGTGCAATCCCAGGTAAACAACACATTGGCTTTGAATTGGCATCATGTTAAGGGGGCATCAATACATGTTTGTCTAGAGCCTGAATCTGTTAGGCCTAGAAGCTGGGTATTCTTTATTTTTCACTGGGACCACATAGCCTTTCTGTTCTGGGGCCTCTATCAGACATCCTGGTGTCCATGTAGTTGCAGTCCATCTGTGGGCAATCCCTGCACCAATGTCCAGTTTTCCACCCATAAAGCAGACAGGAATCTCCCCATTCTTTCATCTTGGCACTATATCTCGTTTCTACTTTCAAATCAGTAGCCTGGTAATGTTAAGCCCACCCTTGTCTCTGGGAATTGGGGAGGATTCCCAGGTTGGGTCCAGGATCTCTACCCACAGGCTTCTAGCTGTAGGAGGCCCTTCCTATTTTGAGTTCATGCATTGCTGGGCCTGTCCCTTTGGTCCAGCAGGGTATTTCCCATATTCTAATCTGGCCTCAAGGACGTTCTCGACTAAGCAAGCTACCTCTTTGATATCACCTAACCAATGTCTTCAAATTCCCTCCTGGTGTCCTACAGGCAATAACTGGCAAAATTGGTCTTGTCCTCCTTATCACCTCCATTATTTCTGTGGATAAGCAGGACTCTGGCTTAAGCAGAGTGAGGCTATGGGCAAGTGTTAAGGGCTGGGTGTCAGAGTTAAATGGTTCTTCCTGGAACTGGCACTGGTGTATCTCTCTAGTAAAACCTAGGCAGTTGAAGATAGGGGTCTTGAGGGTTTCATAGATCTGTGTCAGCTCAGCTCCCAGGACCTGGTATGTAGCCCAAACTTTCCCCGTCAGGTAACAGGCTTGCTTAGTGGCCCACTGATCCTGACATCAGTGGTACATTCTGGTCACCCACTCAAAAGATTTTAGAAAGGCCTCTTGAGTGAGTGGCCTCAGGATCATCATCTGGCCCCATTTTGTGAGAATTCCCACTCTTGTTTGGGCTAGGGTAGTAGTGTGCAACTGTGTGCTGGTCTTCCCCTAATCCAGTACCTGAACCATGAAGTGCTGCTGCTCCTCCTGCAATCTCCACTAAAAAAGTGCTGTTGAAGCTGGAACTGTTGGAACACTCCTGCCAGCCTATTTTAGCATGGCTTCTATATTCGTTTTTTATTGCTTGTGGACCTATTAGTGTCTGCTATTTAGCTGATCCACATACATCTCGATTATTCTGCTTTAATGAAGGCACCTCAGTGAAGGCCTGGCATCAGCTCACAATGAATAAAGATTCTTGTGCTTGTGGAACCCTGTGAAGGGATTTAGTTATCTTTTTTGCTTCCTTTGTTTTTAGAAAGGTGAGAAAGGAGACCCTGGCATTAGAGGCTTCAGTGGACAAAAAGGCGAGGCTGGCATTCATGGTTTGGTTGGACCTCCTGGACCAAGAGGACAGCCAGGGGACAGAGGACTCCCAGGGCCACCTGGATCAGATGGAAAACCTGTATGTATGGTCCTTGATATCTGTTGTTATTGCACATTTTAAAAACATATTCAGTGTATCTTATAACCCTTTTGTATTCATTCAGGGAAGGGAATTTTCAGAAGAGTTTATTCGCCAAGTTTGTACAGATGTATTGAGAAGTAAGTTCCAAAGAATCTTATGCATATCTTTCATTTATTCTATCATTATTTAAAGTGATTTGGGTGCTCTTGTTATAATTATAAATAAACTCTAGGTAAGGAAAATTCATATTACTAAGACACTGGACTGTCTATACCTCCCTTTGAGAGATTTTTCATGCCACACTTCATAATATTTTCAGAACTTATCAGTCTGAATTCATAAATCTGCAGCCTCATCCACATTAAGATAGAACATTTGCTTTTAATGACTAATAGATAATTATCTGAAACTCTTATTTATATAGTTTGCAGTTTTGCTTATTTTTATATTGGATAAAGGTATCTTCTCAGTATAATTCTCAGAACAACCTAAACTTTTCCATTTGAATTCTCCTAGCCCAGTTGCCTGTTATCCTTCAGAGTGGAAGGCTGCACAACTGCAACCATTGTCAGACTCAAAGTGCTCCCCCTGGCCTCCCCGGTCCACCAGGACCAACAGGTCCAGAAGGCCCTAGAGGTTTTCCAGGTTTGCCCGGAAATGATGGGGTTCCAGGTCTCTCAGGAATTCCTGGGCGTCCTGGTACACGTGGAACAAGAGGTAGCTGTATAGATGTCTCCCATATTTTTGTTTCTCCATATAAGTAATGTCTGCCTTTATTGATTTTTATATATATTTTCAAACAACATTCCATACACTTTAATTTATTGTTTAATGAAAAACTTTGCATCCATGGTGATTATTGCCTTCTAATAAAGACGGATAAAAGTGATTACAATGAGCTAAAATTCTGCACTAACTCACACCTTGCCTTTCTTTCCTGAAGTCAACATAATAGTAGTTTGTCCTAATATTTGGGGGGGAGAGAGATGGTGGGGGGGAAGAACACTCTCAAAAAGGTGATTGACCAGTACTCCCATGTTCTTCCAAAAGTTTAACTCTGCATCTTATTTCTGGTTATTATGCTCTCTGTCTTTAATTGACACACATGCATTTGATATCTGCTACTTCTAAAGTTTATCATATCAGCAATCAGTCAAGATTCAGTAAATTCAGCAACAAAAATTATTACCAGGAATCATGCCAGCAAAGCCAGCATTCTCATCAGATCTCAAACTTAAGCAAAGATAAACTTAATCTGTAGGAGTGCTATGCAACAAAAAGAATCTGATCCATCATTAGAATCTTCTTCACAGTCTGGGTCCTTCTTTACTCAGGACCATGAGCCATTTTTTGCTTGATGTTACAAGTATGCAATTGCCAGTGGCCTTTGTGGAAAATGCAAAGTCATTCCCTACCATTGCTTTATAATTAATGTTTCTTAGTTTTCATACAAACAGTTTTCCAGGGGAACTTTTAGGTATCTCTGTGGTAGATTGATGCTTTCCTCTAATATTCTAATTATTTGGAGCTGTTGGGCTTGGAAAAGTCTGGGAAAATTGCCATTCACCAGGGAGAGTGCATGAGAGCCAAAATACAGTGTTTAATTACAGGGAAAAATGAGTAATTTTGGAAAGGTGAAACCTCTACAAAAGAGAAGTTAAGCTCAAAAAAGAGTATTTTAAAAATCTTAGAGCTCCATATTTAGGCTTCAGAAGATTCAAAGGAAATGTCAGCATTTACTATATTAGTACAGTTATGTACTGTGTGATTTCAGTATTGTATATCTCACAGACTTCAACCTGAGACTTGGAGAACTATTATTGCCTGCTATTACACAGTAACAGGCCTGTCCTTAAGTAGTGTTGACTGAAGTGATCAATGTATTTCATAGCTTATTAAAAGTTACAGATTACCGTTTGAGGAGATATAAAGGACCCACATTGCCATTCAGTTTTTAAGAGCAAGTCTTGTACTTCTTTGTGTTGTTTTTCTCCAGAGTTCTTGCCATGTTACTGTTTATGGCAAAGGCAACAAAATAATAGAATTTCTCCTTGATTAAATGAATTCAGTTAGACTTACACTCATTTCCATCAGGGCTGAATTGGTCTGTTTTGTTTTATTTTCCTTTCCCTAGGCTTCTACTATTTCTATTATGTTCATCCTTTGTTTTGCGCGGGTTACCCTCATCACTAATTTTATAACCTGTAACATCTCTATACTCTCCTAAATTTTCTATATTTAATTTCTAGTGAATACTGGTGTAATTTTTCTATGTATCTGGATTTGTTTGGTCATCATAATGTTCAGAGGCTTTTACATGCAACTGTTCTGCAGTATTTTGAAGTTTCTGTATCCTTTCAATAATAATCAGCTACGGTGCAGCAAAATATTTATGCAAAATCATTACTTTTATTATGTAGCCCATCATAATTCACATGCTTAAAGCTAAGGTTGAATAAAGCCAAAGTATGTGGCAGCATCCATAATTTATTACCTTTGATCTCAGCAATTGCCGTATTTACTTGATTAGAAGAGGTCCCCCCACCCCCATTTCGTATGCGGGGGAAAAAGACCCTTGCCTTACAATTGAGTATTAGGCAGTGAAAGGAGGCCAAGTTGTGGGGACTGGCAGTTGCTGTGGCTCTGGCCCCAACCCAGGGCCAGGGCCGCAACCACAGCTGCCTCCTGGCCCCCCGTTGCCTCTGCATGCCCTGCCACTCCTTCCCTGCAGACCCTACTCTCCTTCCAACTGTGCTGCTTCCTTCTCTCCCCCGCTTTGTTGCACTCCTCCTTACCTTTGCTCTGTCAGCAGGATCTGTCTCTGCAGCAGCCTGGGACACGGAGCATGGCTCCAGCCCAGCCCTCTAGCAGCCATGTTGGCTCCCTGCCTTTGCTGCAGGGCTGGGCTGGATCCATATTGTGTCCCCCAGGCTGCAGCAGGGACAGAGTCTGTTGGCATGGAGCAAAGGTAAGTTTGGGGGGGGGGAGGGGGAGAATGTGGGTGGAAGGGGGAGTAAGTGGAGGAGCAGGCAGCAGGGGGCAAGCTGCCTGCCTCTTTCACTGCCTGCCCCACTACCTCCACATTGCGTGCCCCTACCACCTCCCCTCCTACTGCCTGTCCCCCACCATCCCCTAATGCCTACCTCATAATGCTCCCCACCACCTGCCCTACCACATGTCCCACTACTGCCTCCCTCACTGTCTGGTCCCCACTGTGTGCCCCATTACTGTCCCCCTCATCACCTCTCCTCCAACCCCCTGCAGTTGAGTGAAATAATTTAAGATGATCCTCCAATACTTAGATATCATACATGGAAAATTGTAATAAATTTATAATTTTTCTGTGCATAGAATCTAATTACTGGGGGCTACCTTTCATTCAGGGTTGTCTTGTATTCAGGAAATACGGTACTACATTTTTACAGAACTTAGTCTCTGAGAAGGCTGTATCAAGCTAGCTAGCAAGATGCTAATTGTAACTCAATGAATACTTCAAAAATACTTTCTTCCCTGCAACATTTTGACTGTGGCATGAAAAACAAAGTTCATGTCATAGATATTGAAGTTTTATCTTCAGCACTTAGCTACTTTTATTTCCTGAAAAAGATTCTGATATCAATTCACATTGACTACACAGCAAATGGTGAAAAATGGGTAGTCACTGAAAAAACTGATCATATTCTGTCATGGAACAGAGAATTTATTTCTCTTTGTCTGGATGGAAGGGACTTTAATTTTTATGTGCCTTTTGAAAAGTCTGTTATGTATTCTATTCGAAATAGGTATTGTGTTGAAGTTAACAATTTTTTTTCATGCAACCTTTTACTCCCCAAGAGAAAAGCTGGTCAGTATCAGCTCTGTTCAGCATTTCAATCTGTCATCTATTCCCTTTGCCGAGCATGTATATTTCTTACCATTTATTCTTTATCAGTCTCCTTTCAGCTAACTAAGGAAATTACATTAGATAGTACTGTACAAATAACTGTTTGTTATATGGTACATTATTTTGCATGCAATCCCACCCCTTTGACTTCTCAAATGAAAATAATTCTTAGTGTGCATGTATGTTGTTTGGTAATCTACAGGGTTACCAGGAAAAAATGGGGCAAAAGGTGGCCCAGGAATTGGACTTCCTGGTGAACAAGGTCCCCCAGGTCCTCCAGGTAAAGCAAGATTTAATTTCATGTTGAATATTTGAAAATATTATTTTCTGTATTATTAATATAATTCAAAGAAGCTCAACTAGTTCTTAAACAATACAATGGTTGGTGAAAAGCAAAATAATATGGTTGCATGCTTGTTATGTTTTGGTTCATTTTGCATTAGAATTAATTAAGTAAAGTAGCAATTCATAAAAGTCAGTAACTTAAATTCCTGTTTCCAAATAGACTGAGATCTGAGGTTAACAATGTTCTGTTTTGTAATGAAAACAGATAGAAATTGCAACTGGCCTGATTTTCAGAAATACTGAGAAACTACAAATAGATTTAAATACTCATCTGTAGAGAAGAGGGTGCAGCAGCATCCAGCAGTTTTGGAAACTATCCCGTGTTCTATAAAAATATTTTTTAAAAAAAAAGACTAGATTAGAGAGGCTGATACAAGGCCAACGAAGTCCATAGAAAATTGTTCATTAATTTCACTGAACTATGATTTATGTCAAGAGCAAACTAGATTATATGAGTATTTGATTTTAAATCTGTTCTAAATTAACCTTTTTTGTATATCTTGACTCCAGTAGAGGAGGCAGCACAGATAATGTCATTTTTAACCAATGTTTTAACTCTTTGTAATATACACTTGACTAAAGGAGGCCCTTTCCCTAGGAAATGACATTTTTCTTAGCTCAGTAAAATATATTCTCAAAGTTCTGAGGGTTTGGGATCCAGTGTGTAGTTTGTATCCATACCTAATGTTCTAGAGTAATGGTTTTCTTTATGGTAAATTTACCGTTTAGGTCCTGAAGGTCCACCTGGTCTTAGTAAAGAGGGACGTCCTGGAGAGCCTGGGCAGCCTGGTAAAGATGGAGATCGTGGGAATCCTGGAATGCAAGGACCAGCTGGACCCCCTGGAATTTGTGATCCATCATTATGTTTTAGTGTAATTGTAGGAAGAGATCCATTTAGAAAGGGGCCAAACTATTAATTTGTGATGTGTTAGAATAATAGGTATGGTGCTTGTCTTCTACAGTTTTTCATGTCTCAGGAAGATGACTAGCAATAATCCCATAAACAGGAACAAAAGTACCTCTGATTTTATAAAGGATCTAGGATAAGACTCTAGAAGATCACACATTCCATTTTAATGTATCTGCCATTGCTGTTGAATAATTAGCATAAATTAAATCTCAAAGTCTTTGAGAGAGAGACATGATTTTAACATGAATAAAGTAAATCATATCTGCTGTTTAGTTTGTAAGTGTCCTATTATGCTCCTGATCCCACTGAAGTTCATTCCTAAAGCTTTTTTTTTTTTTAAACTCCATTGGGAGCAGGAGCAGGGCCTAAATATTTAAATTACTGTGAAATATTTCACATTAGGCTACATATGCAGTATTTGATTTTCAAAGGATATGGCTGGCTTTTACTTCATATGTGTGTGAATCTCATTGGCTTATGTACATTACATATTTCATAGCTCAAGGTTTTCCATTACAAAAAAAATCCTATTTTTTTATAAAATTCAGAGAAGTATCTGGCTTCCTTATGGAAGTAATTTCACCACTGAGTAATCAGTTCTTTTATCTAAGCATCAGGGTGAAAAAGAAGAACTCCCATTGACACTGCTGCAGCCAGGGTTTTACTTCAGAGTGATGCAGACTGTGTGGGTAGATTAACTTATATACGAATTACCTTATTTTAAAAAATAGATTTTATTTGGTTTGTACCTGCAGTTGGCCAGAAATGAAAATCACAGTTTTGTACAATGAAGTTTAGCAATTTTAATATGCTCAGTTTAATCACAGATCAAAATTCAATTCCTTTGGTGTCCTTTATAAGAGCTGAAGTTGTCAAATGCAAGAAGCAGGTTTATAAGAAGAAAGTTCTTCATACTTTTCACTAATGGCCATGTTTGTTACGCTGCTTTATCTTCCATTTTAAGCAAGACTTTTTTTATGTTAACTTTCATTGTATGCACTGCTGGCAAGACCCATAGCTTGCTTTCTGAGTAAAAAGCAATTGCACAAGTCCCGTTTACAATTTTAGTCCAATTTTAAATTAATGCAGAGTCCTTAACCAGAGCTTTATATGCAGCTTTCCACTTTCCCTTCCCCCCGCAACATGCTGTTTCACTGTTGTCATACTAAAAAGTTTGTTTAAATGTTTGACATTCAAGGTAAAATAAAATTTTGTACAGACTTGGGGGTAATGTGATGACTTAGTGAAAGGTGTTTTTATTTGGCTTTGCTCTGTGACAATAGAAGAGTGTCTAATATGCATCTAGGAAAGTATCAGTACTTGTCTACTGCTGCTACTGCTGTTTTAATCTTTATATCTTCCCTCAGGGGAAAAAAAAAATTAAACCCCAAACAGAAAGTAGCGTCCCCAAAAAGTACCTCCCCCAAAACGCTAATGTGATCTATCTAAACTTGCAGGAACAGCATCCATTAACAATATTTATGCTGTGTAGATGCAAGGCAGTGGCACCTTTAGGACTCATTCAGAGGCATAATTTTTTTGCAAGCAACAGCTTACTTCATCAGATGCTCTTAGTCTACAGGGTGCAACTGCTCTGCCTTCTTCCTGATTTCAGACTAATACAGGGAACTCTCTCTTTTTGCACAGTATAGTTGACTATGCAAGTCACCACATTTACTTCAGTAAGACCATGCTTAGTTTGAGGCTGAATTAGTCTTCATCCAGTACTTCCACATGTTGTTAAAACTCCAAATACTTAAAATTTAGAGTAATATTTTTCATATGTAAAGTAGTGCCTTCTATATTAATGCCAATCTTTGTTTCAGTTAAACCAGCATCAATGTGAGATTTGGAATCATTTAGTTAAAAAGAAAAAAGTTGAATCATAGTAGGCAGAGATGAAAAAGATGTGGCAGTTTGCTCAGTTTCTTTCTTCCTCTTCCAGAAGGGAATTATTAATTACTTCTTCTACCAAGATCCATTTCATATAGCAGAATAAACAAAAAATATTTTGTTAGCTTGATTGTATTACAATTTGTGTGTCAGTGAAATGGGGAAAATCCTTGAAGTCTCTGACAAAATATATTGAGGAAACGCTAACAGATACGTAACTCTAATGGTTTGGAAACGGATTAGAAAAATTGGTGTACTTTCATGGAAAAAGGTGCTACTAGGTTCCATAGTAGAACCAATGTCTAGCATATTTTTTTAATTCCAAAACAGGAAAATAAATAGTAAGATGGACAGATTTACAAATGACACACAAAATGCCTACAAGATACTCAATAACAGAAGGGTGTAAGGAATTGTTGACCATTATGAAAAAATGCAAATTAGGAGGAATAATTTGAATTCTTCATACACTCTGCTAGTTTCTAAGTAAACTATAGCCACTCAGGGAAAAGACCTCAGTATAATTATTTAGAGCTGGATGAAAATTTCTGCATGATGTGAAAGGACATTAAAAAATACGTAACATTGCTAAACCAAGAGAGACAAAATAATACTTAAAATATAAAGTCATATTATAATTTGACCAACTATTTTCACTGTAAATTCTGTTTTCAGTTCTGGTCATGCCATATCGAAAAAGACATAGGTCCATATCCTATAATATACGTTTTCAGGTGACATTCTGTATACTTGCTTCAATTCAGCACTTGAGGAATAATACAGCTGAATCTTTAATGGTGTTTTTATTCTAATGAAGATGGATAAAAAGTGGTCACAATGAGCTAAATCCTGCACTAACTCGCATCTTGTACTTCTTTACTGAGGCTCTGCGTGGCAGAATCACCACAGCTGCAGGCCCAGGAGTCCCCCAGGAGCCCAGGTAAGGCTGCTGGGGCCAGCACAGTGCTGGCCCCAGCTTCCCCTACCCCACCTGGGGCAAGTTGCTGTGTGCCAAAATGTGGTTGGCATAAGTGTTCCCTGCGGATAAGTAGCTGCAGCACAAGGTGAGCCACTATTAGTTGTTCCCGGGGAACCAAATGTCCATGTGTGTCTGGATGCTCCCAAAAGGGGGCATCCACCTTTTGAAGCTGGTCTGGTAGGTACAAAGATCATGGGACCAAAAGAAGTGCAAGAAAAATTAAAACAGGCTCCTTAGCTTAGGCCACTCCTCTGGGTGGTAGAGAGCCCTGATTTCTGCTTCCTTTTCCAAATGCTGTTCATGTATTTAACAATAAGTAATCTTTCGATAAAATGTATGGATAGCATTGGGAAGAGAACCCAGAAGCTCATTCCCTCAAAGGGAGTGCCCTTCTCTGACTTAGACTTCATTCTGCATGACTCCAGTGCCCTATCCAATAGGATATTAGCTAAAAGGTGGGTTGATCCTCCTACACCTCTGATGGAATAGGATCTCAAGATAATGGAGCAGGGGAGGGCAAAATATGGCCCGTAGACCAGATCTGGCCGACCAGCTGATTGGATCCAGTGCGCAGGCAGGCCCCATCAATTAATTGTATCCAGCCCCACCCGTGACTGCACCTGCTGCACATGCTGTGCTCCCAGCCTCTCCCGCCAGCAGGCATAGCTTTTGAGCAGGGCTCCTGCTGTGGCCGCTGCCTAGGAAACTGCTGGGTTCCTCCATCACTTAAGAAGGGGGACCAAGTGCACACTAGGTCCTGCTGTTGCTCCCCCCTCCTGTCTGTCCCTGCCTGCCCATCAGAACTTCGTGAGCAGCCGAGCTCCTTCACGCTCGCCCCTCCATCCACACATACTCCCCTGCCCCACATGAGCAGGGCCAGAGTGAGCTGCAGGCAGAGCCCACCCTGCTCCCTTCAACACTAAAGCTTCCCCTCCCTACCTGCTGCCCAGAGCACTGCAGCAGGGACTGCTGCTGCTGCTGCTGCTGCCACTGCCTGGGAAACCGCTGGGCACCTCCAGCAACTCCTCCTGTCCCTGCTGCAGCCCTGCCAGGCAAGCAGGTGAGAGAGAAGCAACAGTAGCAGGAGCCAGGCAGGCTCGGCAGCAGCCCTGTCAGGCAGGTGTTGGATAGAGACTAAGAGAGCTGGTGATGCCAGGCTCAGCTCCCTGTCCTCTCTACCCTCTTGCAGAGGCTTCCTTTGCTGCCAGCAGTGACAGCTGCTTTCCTGCCCTTTGCAGCCTGTTGCAAGCCAGGCAGACAGAGCTGATCCCCTTCCCCCCACACACGGAGGGGCTGGGCTCAGCCATATCACAAAGAGCAGGAAGGAGGGAAGCCCCCCCACATGGACACCCAACCCACCCACACACCCCACCCCCCTCCATACCCACACACACACACCCATCACTGTCTCACACTCCAACCATACACCCCACTATAAATGTCCCATACCCCTCATACACACCCCACCAACACACTCCACACCCTCTACACACATCCACATATACCTACATCCCACAAACACCTACACCCCTTCATCTTACCCACACACACATCTAGCAGTCCCAAACACTCTACACACATCCACATGATACCCTAAACACACCCCATCTGCACCATACCCACACACACACCCACACGCATCCCACACCCAGCCCCCTCCTATGCCCCCACACACTGCACCTGCACCATACCCACACCCCACACATTCCCCAATTGCACCACCGCACCCCTTCACACATATTGTACTAGCAAACTGCCCCCTGCCCCAAAAGGAGTACTTCCTAGGCAAAAGGAGAAACTCTCAGTGGTAAAGGTCAGGGGTTAGGGGTCAGGACTTCTGGTCACAAGATAGTGACCAGGGAGTGGGGCACCTGCCAAGGGGTGGGGCTACCCTTGCAGCCCTCAGTACCTCGCCAAAATCCTTAAGCAGCCCTCTACCTGAAATAATTGCCTGTAACAGAGGGTTTTTAATGTTGACTCCTGAGCTAGGAACCTATTAGCTGCTTATAGGTGACTCCCTGGTCAGTATTTTTACAGTGTGGAGACGCATTAAGATCATTGCACAGGAATAGTAGAGCTGTGTGCATCTGAGTGAAATCAGATCACTTTCCTGAAATGAGATATGTATTTTTACTGAGTATAGCAACATAGAGGGAATCCAAAAAAATGAGGACTGTTTAGAGGTATATAAA